TTTTTTTTCATAGGTTTTTTCGCACTTGTTTTTTCTGCAGCACGTTTTGAACCAGGTTTTGAAAATGATGGTCTCATATCAATTGATTCACTGAAATGTTCATTCTATGAAACATAAGACATAGTATATTATTTTTTTACTGTTTTTTTCATTATATATTTTCTAAGAATTATAACCAAAGCGTTGAGTAATGTATCCAATATGTTTTTAGTTACTATATAGTTTTTTTAAACTATGTTATAACCAGACATTAAATATTATTTTAAAATTATAACCATAGCGTTGAGTAGTGTTACGTCTGACCTCCAATTTGCTTTGGTTATAAGATATTTACTAAGTAGTTACTAACCTCTGAATCAGTTGAAGCCATTGTACGGTACGACATTTTTTGATAGTATTTCTGTTGAACTGAGCTTCTTGTCCTGGAATGAAATCTTGAAGACTGGTGCATATTATTGAATTCCCTCAGTATTTTATACACAGATTTTACCACTACTTCAATAATTTAATATACAAATGTTCATGGCAATGGCTTGGTTCCATTTCTATAATAACCTTATTTGTTAGAAACCTGTTGGCCCATGTTCATATAGGTACAACAGCAAATTGTATTATATGAATTTAAATTGTTGCTAACGTAACCTGCTCAGCCAAATGTTTATGACATTTATCATTTGCCATAGTCAATACCCTCATTGAACACATAACTATAATAACCTTACCTTAGAAACCTATTGGGTCATGTTCATATACAACAGCACATTATATGAATTTTAAATTATTACAAATAGGATTTAAAATAAATTAGAATATATACATTCATTCTCAAAAAACCAATTACATTATATGAATTTAAATTGTTGACAACATAACCAGTCAAATGTTATTACATTAACTAAATGTCAATGTCATTATAATATGAAAACAGTATATGAAATAAATGCTTAATTCCATCTCAAAAAAATTTCTAATGAGAAAAGAGAGGGTTATTTTCGGGTATAAAACACAGAATTTGTTAGCTTATCGTTATCAGTTCCGGTACCAGCAGTTCCAAGAGCAGTCAACAGAAGAACAGTCTTCTCTAAAAAACAACAGCCAGCCATCAGCAAATAGCAGCCACTCGAAAGATTGCCAAAAAAAACCTTCAATACTTCAATTTCTACAAGCCATGTAAGTACTATTTATTAAATTTAACATGAATACTTCTTTTTTTAAATAAAAAAAAAAAAAATAAAATAGAATAATAAGAATTTATAGTTGAAATATAGCTTTATAATATTACTGTGAACGTTATATCTTGTAGGTACGACTTTAGATAGAAATTCTATGTAATGTCGTGCTTACAGATTTAAAGATATTTTGATTAAGATAATATAAAATAAAAAATAAAACATTAAAATAGAAATGATGGTAAAAGACGGTTTCTCAACTCTCACTTTTAGTTATTGACACGTCAAGCTGTTTTCTTTTTGTTAAGAACTTAAGTTATGTTTAAATAAAATAAATAATACGTTATAATTATACGACTGTTCACGGTATACAAAACTGCTGTATCATAGATTTACATAGATAAGATAGAAAGTTGGGCTTATCAACCATCATTAAAGTGTATACATTTTTGTGGTTATAAGGGTTCCTTATTATTATTATTGATAATTATTGTAACCTAACCTCAAAAATCTGACTGCAATAGTACACACTGGACTTAGTACACTGGTGTACACTGACCGATGCCGTGAATTTTAGCGGTGTGGGAAATTATTTGATTATGGTATCAGTGTTCGTGTGTAGTGTACACTAGTGGCTAGTGCACTCAGATGGAAAACGCTATTACGGTTATCTAGTTATCGTATGTATAGATATATAAAATGTATATATCTGTGATCGAATGATACCTTGTTTTATCAACATTAAAATACTTTCGCTGATTATAAATATTTGCTATTGATGAATGATGATGTGGTTGTTGTATTATACGTATAATATTATCTTACGTAAAAATGTTTTAATTTAAATAACGTTTTTATTATATTAAAATATTCAATAATGTATATCCTAAAACGTATATAATATATAAATTTAAATTATTTTTTCTAAAATATAATTTTTGTTGCTTTTACGTTGAGATTGTTCGAAAGCCGTGGAAACACGATGGTAGTAAACACGATAGTTGTTACTATTACGATTAACTAGCATAGAAACTATCAAGTATTTTCTATTATCATGTGATCACGGTTTCATTAGTAATTAAAAGACGTACATTACCCTGGCCCCCCTCATTGAACTTTTTACATAAGAAACTAGGTTACGAATTAGCACGCCATTAGCATGTATTTGCACGACTATTTTTAGAATTTGCACGACTTTATTTTACGAGTTATGTATAAAAAACTGTGAGGGGGGCTGGCGTAACGTTACCCCAGCCCCCCTCATAAGGAAATAATCACTTTTTTATAATTTTTTTTTTACAAAACATTAGCACGCCATTAGCACGCATTTGCACGACTGGCGCCGAACCCGACAATTTTCCATTTTCCCGGGAAAACCCGTTTTCCACTCTTACGCATTACCCCAGCCCCCCTCCAAAAAGAAGCAGTCACTTTTTTATAATTTTTTTGTTACCAAACATTAGCACGCATTTGCAGGCTTCTCACAATGTGTATGGTCGGATAGATATGTGCAATGTGCATGTATAATTTTTATTTTATTTTAACGCAATTGTGTTGAAAAAGACCACTTCTGAGACATCATATTTTTGTGCCCTTAAAACTACCAGGAATTATTAAAAATAAACTATGAATTATTTTCACGATCATTAAAAATAATTTATTATGTACGAAATAAATGTTTTATATTATACAATGAATAATCGTACTTTAACGTCGTAGATTTTTGTTTTTGGTGACAAATACGAAGCATCAACGATCTGTACACTTTTCATTTATATCTACATTCTACCTACAAATAAAAATTATATTATATTGAAAAGTTTAACTGCGAAATAGTTGTTGGACAAAGACATTCATTGTCGTTTTAAATATTAATTGAGTGATTTTGACCAATACCACAGTTCATGGTATGTTTTTTTTCACATATTATAAATTATAATAAATACATTTGATTTCATTTACCTTAACATTGTTAGTGCAATGTAATAATTTATATGTACATTGCACACGATTAGCATGCATATTTTTAATCGCACATTGCACACAAATGCTAATATTTTGAATTGAAGTTTGTGTGTGTGGCAATACCTAACCCTGGAGCTAGAAACACCGAGCGATGCGCACACTCAGGGTGTTTCCGCGGTATAGTTATTAAAAAATAATAGAGAAAAAATATTTCAAATTACTAAATTCTTATATCTTAGACATATCATCTTGTATGGTTTTCTTGGACTTTTTTATAAGACTGTTAGGTACCTAGGCATCGTTCGATTTTTTGGTTATACATCGTCTGAACATCGATCGTTTAAAAGGTATTTTCCTCTTATAGTCGTATTGCATTCTAATTTCTAGTGATTACATAATGTATGCCAATTATATTTAAGAAAATTGTTTATTTCCACCAAAGATGTGGGCAGAAATCCCATCAACTTTAACTAAAACTACTAATGGACCTGAGGTATTTTTTTCACATTATAATGCACAATTTTACAGTACTCATCCTTCAATTTGGAAAGTATGAACATTTTATTAATTATTAATTCAGTAAACTAAATATATTTTGTTTTATATACTTAGGTAATAGAAACATTGGGATAAAATACAGTCAGAGACATAGTATGTCAAAATTAAAGATATTTTTAGGGGTATCTATTATTTAAAACAGGCTCCTGAACGGCTGAACGTTAAAAATTAGAATATTTTCAAAAACATAGTCTTAAGTATAGTATACCACCAGTGAAATAAACAGGTTTCATTTTGCAAAAATAATGGGACATTACAATATACCAAGTATTTATTTATAATATTATTTTTCCTTTATTTTGCCTTATTAATTTTTACTCAAACTACCTATATATATATTATTTTTATTATACTGTAACTATGGCTGTAATGTGCCTAATTGAACTGAGCACAATTTATGTATCTTTATTATTTTTAAACTTAAAAATCTAATTATCTATATAATATTATTTGTATGTACATTTATATAATTATAACTACAATTCAATACAATTGATTCAATTTTGTTTTAATTGTTTGTATCTATTTATCACATATGATTTATGACAATCAATTATTTTTTTACCCATTTATTGTTCATAATGTTGATGTGCATATGCTATTATGATGTACGATATTTTGGTGCATGTAAACGGGCAATGCGCAAATAATATACGACCGGCATGGGATAGGGGTACACAATATATTGCTTATTATCATATTATTGTCACGTAAAATCGTAAGAATTAAATTGTATATAATATTATATACTTTAATTTTATATTAGTGTCATATATTATTTATAATGATAGCTTCTATTATTATTAAATATTATATTAATTGAGATCATAGAAATAAAATAGGTAAAATTACCACATTATGGCCCGACCCTTATAACGTTGTAAGTACCTACTTCACTTTAATAATTAAATGGCAACATTATTTATATACTCTTTCAGTCTTTCTGTGTAATATAGTAATATACAGGGTGGGTAGCCAAATACCATAAGAGTGATTCTCCTATATATTAAGATACGTCAATCGTTCTTTTCCCGGCCATACCCTGTAGCGTTTGACTTTGAATTTCTATTTTTATTAATAACCTATGTGTCTATATTTTCTGCAATACACTCCTTAATTATTTATATATATAAATATGTGATTCCAATATTCATTCAACAAATTTAAGAATAACCGTCCTTATACGGTTTATACTTCATTAGTTCATTCATAATTTTGCCGTCGATGTAGTAGCTTCTATTTAATAGAATCGAATATCGATTACATTAATTATTATCTTAAATAATTGTTATTTCTAACGCCTTTTCAATGGGTGGACGAAAAGGCGCTGTAGCTCCAACGGTCGTTGTTGATGCCGTTCTGTTGTATAAGGATGAAGTAGTAGTTACTAACAATAATGGAGAAAAGAGTAAGTACAAATTATTATTTAAATATTCATTGTTCATATTCTACGTATAATGTATTTATTTTATAATTAAAACATAACTGTATACATTACATTATTCTGAATATTAAGTTTATCATTGTTGCATTTTTGTATGTACTAGGGCTGGACCGATAGCACTTTTTTCCGATATTCCGATTTACCCATATTTTGCCGATATAAAACCGATAACCGATCCGATATTTTATTTCCATGAACCGACATAAAAAATCTTAAAAACCCGATATATTTTTCAAAAGCCGATAACAGATGTATAAACCGATGTAACATTTAAAATTTAAATCATGTGACACATCAAAAGATATTACATTTCCGCCACGAGAATTAATAATAAGTAATTAATAAATAATAATTAATAATTTTACAAATTATTTTTATTGAATAAGTTGACAAAAATATAAAACGAATAACAAACAAACGAAATTGTACTTAAATTGTGATTGCATCGTGCTTACTATTTTTAAAAAATAATTGATTATTTGCATAATATGTATAAAAATAGCATTATTGGTATAACCACCACCATTACATACAAATAGCATCGTCTACAGTTTTCAATTTTTACAAAATTAATAAAAATTTGCAAATTATTTTGAGTTAGAAATTTATAAAAATGTTTCCTTTCGTATCTAAGATTTAAAAAGCCAGTAGAAGATTTCTCATAAGGTTTTAAAACCTTACCAAAAAATACTTAAATCCCTACCGATACCAAAAATTAAAAAGTTTACCGGAAAGTCAAATTAATTGTTCGAACCAACTTTTTTCTGAAAAAAAAACCATTGAACTGAGTTAATTAAAATTAATTTGGGACAAAATTGATTAATATAACCTAACCTATACTATATGCAGTGCCGCATTTAGACATTTTGCGCCCCGGTGCAAAAAAAAAATTGGCGCCCCCCAAGCCCCGGTGAAAAAAAAATGCTCCTCCCACGGAAAATATGTGAGGTAGATCCTCATTAACCTTTTAGATTTTGAGCGAAGAAAAGAATATTTGTTTAAGAGTGCTTTTTTTAAAAAAATATTGTTTAGTAATTGCTTGATCCCTCCGCAAAGATATATTGCAATTTATGTCACATAAACCTTGCTAATAATTGTTATAAAAATAATTTAAAGTATACAATTTTAAAAATATATATAGTCTATATGTATAATAGGTTACAACAATTTTACATTAATCATACGTTAATCGATTATTTTTCATAATATTACAATATTTATTATTTGATAATTATTAGAAGTTGCTGTAGCTACAGATAGTGTCTGGTGTAAGATCAGCACATATCTAAATAATCGTATGTCAGGTAGAGCACTACATACATTTGTACATAAAGACCGATACAATGTAAAAGAAAAACTTGGTTTTCCGTCTCAAAAACCAATTTTAGTTTCACGGAAATTTAATGATGAAGCTCAACCATCATATGAAACTGCAGGTACGTATATTTTATTTTATTGTTGTTTATAACTACCATTAAGTATAATATATTTGTATATATTGTTTAAATATACCATAATATAGCTTAAAAATATAATATATAATATATTATAGGAATCTAGTTTGGGAGGTCAAAATTTAAAAGTTACGTTTTAGACGTCTACTATCGAATTTTAAAAAGGTGGACAAGTGGATACTACTCTGCTGTACAGTAGTTGTCTAGAATGTTATATTTGAATTCAATGATAAACCATTGGATATTAAGAAACGATTCTGAGCGGAGAAGTCTTGTCCTGCGCTCATACTTGTATAAGAATCAAATTTAATAGTTAAACATTTTTTTTATAAAAATCAAAAATATGATATAGCTATAAATATTGTAACTTTCTGGTAAACTCTTTCATATTGATAGAGGTAGAAAAACTTGTTGGGAACCTTTTCTTAAAATTTCTCATCTTAGCTATGAAAGAACATTTTAGATTCTGAGTGAAACGATGAATGTATTGATTTTACAATGATGTGTGTTTTTTTATTTTTTTATTTTTTTATTTTTTTATTTTTTTTGTATCTGTGTACACGATAAGTAGTCGAAATAATGCTTCGATTTTCGACTTCAGTATCTTGTTCGATTGGAAAGTGAATATCGTTGGTGCATTGGGGAGGTCAAAATTTAAATTTCCCAGTAGTTTTCACAAGCGCCGGGAAAAACAACATAAAAATTAAGGAAAAACGGGAATTTTTACGCAAATTTGATTTTCCAAAAAATCGATTTTGGTTATTGGTGTAACTCTAAAACAAATGAACGTATATACATGAAATTTTCACTGGTTGTTTATATTTGCATTTTCTATACACGATAACATTTTCAAAATATTTTGATTTATTTTGAACTGTTTAGGGAGATTTTCATTTTCCATTTTTTTTTAGTTTTTTTTCTAAAAATTTCAATAAAATTTTATTTGTTGGTTGCGAAAGCTTGAAAATTTAATAGAAGGCTCCTAATATGTTGTTTCAAAGGCAGATAAAAAATATTAAAAATCCTTCGTCACAATTTTTTTTTATAAGCTTAAATGCTTAAATGCTATTGCATCTTCTATACACGATAACATTTTCAAAATATTTTGATTTATTTTGAACAGTTTAGGGACATTTTCATTTTTCATTTTTTTTTAGTTTTTTTTCTAGAAATATCAATAAAATTTTATTTGTTGGTTGCGAAAGCTTGAAAATTTAATAGAAGGCTCCTAATATATTGTTTCAAAGGCAGATGAAAAATATTAAAAATCCTTAGTCACAATTTTTTTTTATAAGCATTTAAAGTTCAAAAATTGACAAAATATGGAAAAATCACGAAAATTAGCAAATTATTTTGAGTTAAGAATTCGTAAAAATTTTTCTTTTTAAAACTAAGATTTGAAAATCTAATACAAGATTACTCATAAGATTGTCTACCTTTATCAATAAAAAAATTTCTACCGGAAAGTCAAATTAAATTTTTATGAGCGTTTGAAATTCAAATTTTTACAACATTGGATATTCACTCGATTTCTCATGTGGCAATTTCCTTTTTTTGTTGTAATTAAAAAACGAATTACTGTAGATACATGAAAATTTCACTGAATGTTTATATTAGCATTTCCTATACACCCTACAATTTTGAAAATATTTTGACACTTTTTGAGCCGTTTACGGACATTTTCAGTTTTCAATTTTCAATTTTTTTAGTTTTTTTTTTTCTATAAATATCAATTAAGTTTTATCTGTTGGGCCAAAAAGTGTAAAAATTTAATACAAGGCTCCTGATATATTGTTACAATATCAGTTGAAAAATATTAAAAATACATAGGCACAATTTTTTTTTATAAGCATTTTAACATCGAATTTTGATAGAATTTTTCAAAATTTCGAAAATTATTAATCATCGTAATTAATAAATTATAAAATGTTCAGTTTTTATAGCTAAGGATTGAAAATTTAAAACAAGATTCTACGTAAGTAGTTAATTCTCTTACCGAAAAATCTAAAAAATATACAATCACAGTTTACTTTTATAGTAATTTTATGTTCAAATTTGGACGAAATTACATATTAAAAAACCTAGTTATTTTGTTGTGATTATATAATATTATTCGTGGGTACCTACTTGAAACTTCTAAAGTGTACTATTATATATATATGATAGTATCAGGGTTTGTTGTTGGTGTATAACGTGTTATAAGTACCTAATGGATATTGTGATATGATTAATTTGGAATTTATTTTAGGTCAATTTTTTTTTTAATACCATAGATATGTATATAATTTGTCTTAAACCTAGACTGATATATCGTCTTCGCTCAGAATCGTTTTTCTTATACAATGATATTGAATCATTGAATTCAAATTTAATAGCATCCATTATACAGTGACCCACTTGTAACCTACTGTACAGCAGAGCGACATCCACTTACCCACCTTTTTTATATTTTGTCTACAATTAATATATATTTAACAAAAAAAAAATTTACCGAAAAGCAACATTAATTTTTTATGAGTTCAAATTTTTATAATACAGGATTTTCATCTAAATTATCGAATTTTCATCAATATTTTTTAAATATTTGGTTGTAATTCAAAAACCAATAATTGTAGATACTTGAAATTTTTACAGAATATTGAAATGACTATTTTCCATGCTTTGTAATAGTTTCGAACAGCTTTGAATATTTTTCAGCTTTTAATAGCCATGAGAAATATTTTAAATGTTGTAAATTATTTTTTAATTAGAAATTCATAAACAATTTCCTTTTTATACTTAAGATTAAAAATTTTAGTAGAACTTTTTACATAATTTTCCTACCTATAACAAACAAAAAAAGTGTACTTAAATGGAACTTTATTTTTTAATGAGCTTTTGAAGTTATAATTTTTGCTATATTTAATATTAAGCGGTAAATTATTGATCGGTTTTTTATATTTTGTTGTATTTTCAAAACGAATAACTGCAGGCTCACCAAATGGTTACCAAAGATTTTAATCAGCATTTTCCATATATGGTAAAATTTTCAAACTATTTCGAAGCTTTTTGAGCTATGTAATGCCATGATAAGTATTTCAAATTATGTAAACTATTTTTCAGTTAGAAATTCAGAAAAAAAAGTGGATGTCGCTCTGCTGTACAGTAGGTTACAAGTGGGTCACTGTATAATGGATGCTATTAAATTTGAATTCAATGATACAATATCATTGTATAAGAAAAACGATTCTGAGCGAAGACGGTATGTCAGTCTAGGTTTAATACAAATTATATACATATCTATGGTATTAAAAAAAATTGACCTATAATAAATTCCAAATTAATCATATCACATTATCACAATATCCATTAGGTACTTATAACACGTTATACATCAACATCAACAACAAACCCTGATACTATCATATATATATAATAGTACACTTTAGAAGTTTCAAGTAGGTACCCACGAATAATATTATATAATCACAACAAAATAACTAGGTTTTTTAATATGTAATTTCGTCCAAATTTGAACATAAAATTACTATAAAAGTAAACTGTGATTGTATATTTTTTAGATTTTTCGGTAAGAGAATTAACTACTTACGTGGAATCTTGTTTTAAATTTTCAATCCTTAGCTATAAAAACTGAACATTTTATAATTTATTAATTACGATGATTAATAATTTTCGAGATTTTGAAAAATTCTATCAAAATTCGATGTTAAAATGCTTATAAAAAAAAATTGTGCCTATGTATTTTTAATATTTTTCAACTGATATTGTAACAATATATCAGGAGCCTTGTATTAAATTTTTACACTTTTTGGCCCAACAGATAAAACTTAATTGATATTTATAGAAAAAAAAAACTAAAAAAATTGAAAACTGAAAATGTCCGTAAACGGCTCAAAAAGTGTCAAAATATTTTCAAAATTGTAGGGTGTATAGGAAATGCTAATATAAACATTCAGTGAAATTTTCATGTATCTACAGTAATTCGTTTTTTAATTACAACAAAAAAAGGAAATTGCCACATGAGAAATCGAGTGAATATCCAATGTTGTAAAATTCCTGATCTTCTATACACGATAACATTTTCAAAATATTTTGATTTATTTTGAACAGTTTAGGGACATTTTCATTTTTCATTTTTTTTTAGTTTTTTTTCTAGAAATATCAATAAAATTTTATTTGTTGGTTGCGAAAGCTTGAAAATTTAATAGAAGGCTCCTAATATATTGTTTCAAAGGCAGATGAAAAATATTAAAAATCCTTAGTCACAATTTTTTTTTATAAGCATTTAAAGTTCAAAAATTGACAAAATATGGAAAAATCACGAAAATTAGCAAATTATTTTGAGTTAAGAATTCGTAAAAATTTTTCCTTTTAAATCTAAGATTTGAAAATGTAATACAAGATTACTCATAAGTTTGTCTACCTGTATCAATAAAAAAATCTCTACCGGACAGTTAAATTAAATTTTTATGAGCGTTTGAAATTCAAATTTTTACAACATTGGTTATTCACTCGATTTCTCATGTAGCGATTTCCTTATTTTGTTGTAATTCAAAAACGAATAACTGTAGGTACATGAAAATTTCACTGAATGTTTATATTAGCATTTCCTATACACCATACGATTTTGAAAATATTTTGACTCTTTTTGAGCTGTTTACGGACATTTTCATTTTTCAATTTTTTTAGTTTTTTTTTCTATGAATATCAATAAAGTTTTATCTGTTGGGCCAAAAAGTGTAAAAATTTAATACAAGGCTCCTGATATATTGTTACAATATCAGTTGAAAAATATTAAAAATACATAGGCACAATTTTTTTTTATAAGCATTTAAACATCGAATTTTGACAGAATTTTTCAAAATCTCAAAAATTATTAATCATTGTAACTAATAAATTATAAAATGTTCAGTTTTTATAGCTAAGGATTGAAAATTTAAAACAAGATTCCACGTAAGTAATTCTCTTACCGAAAAATCTAAAAAATATACAATCACAGTTTATTTTTATAGTCATTTTATGTTCAAATTTGGACGAAATTATATATTAAAAAACCTAGTTATTTTGTTGTGATTATATAATATTATTCGTGGGTACCTACTTGAAACTTCTAAAGTGTACTATTATATATCTATGATAGTATCAGGGTTTGTTATTGATGTTGATGTATAACGTGTTATAAGTACCTAATGGATATTGTGATAATGTGATATGATTAATTTGGAATTTATTATAGGTCAATTTTTTTTTAATACCATAGATATGTATATAATTTGTCTTAAACCTAGACTAACATACCGTCTTCGCTCAGAATCGTTTTTCTTATACAATGATATTGTATCATTGAATTCAAATTTAAAAGCATCCATTATACAGTGACCCACTTGTAACCTACTGTACAGCAGAGCGACATAAACTTACCCACCTTTTTTTTATTTGATATAGATTTTTTATTAAACAAACTGCTTTATCAAATATAGATTTTTTTATAACAATTTTAATATTTTTTATTTAATATAATATATTTTTTAAATATGGATTATTATCAATTATAGATTTTTTGTCAAATATTGATTTTTTCTCTAATAATATATCTAAATAGATGGAAACGTATAAATTATTATTTACCTATATCTTACCTTGTAAGTGTCTTATTTAAACCCATTTATTAAAAAGTTTATACTATTTTTCGAAATAATTTGTTCTCAATGAGGTGTTATGATTTTTATTTTTATTTATTTGTTATCTGAACACAATAGGTAATTATGTTTTTGAAGTTTTATTAATAAAAGAAACATTATTCTTTTGCGGAATATGTCTCACTATAAATTACTTAACAAAAAAAAAAAAAAATGATATTTAAAATATCTATTATGTACCTACTATTTCTAGGCGTTCACATGAAAAAATTAAAAACCTATTACCTGAACGACATATTTTATTAATATGAAAAATATTTTAAATTTCAAAAAAGGTGGTGTCCCGTTTTAATGGCCCCCAATTTGTTTTGGGATAGCGCTGGGAGTTTTCGTGCACAAATGTCGGGACCTGGTGCACATTTCTGCACAAACGAGTTTTTCGTATACAATGATTACAATGATATTATATCATTGGATTCAATTTTAACACCAACCAATATAGTAACCCACTTGTAGCCTACTGTACAGAAGATCGTCACTCACTTACACGTTTTTTTAAATATAAATATAATGAGAATCGTTTTTTTTAAGACTCTTTTAGTGACAGTAGCAGCGATGAGCAGAACTTTATGCCGACAAAAAAGTTTGTCATTACGTTTTCTGCCGATGAATGGCAACAAATTAAACCTCAAGAAACAATTTATAAATTGAATGAAAAGTCACGACCTACACAAAGCACAAGGACGTACCTTACATTAGCTAAAAATACTTGGACGCCTATATTAGCTGAACATTTTTGGATACATAATCAGTTACCTTGCTGTTTATCATTTAACAGAGCCAAAGTGTATGCAACTGGATCAAGTTATGTTAGTGTTATTGGTCGTTGTACAATTTGTAACTCACTATTTAAAGGGATTATTGAAGATGTGCCTCCAGAAAATGCTAGGTATTAAAAACAATTGTACATAAAATTTTGGTTTCCAATATGTATTGATGAAATGTAAAATTTTGAATAACTTTTATTTTCAGAGTTCTCATGAAATGTACTTACTCCGGTAACTTTAATGATGCCCATAAACTATTGAAAAAACGTCGTCTAATTGGTCCAGCTAAGACCAAAGTCATTGATTCAATTTTTAATGTAGGACTGTCATGTGAAACGTACAGAGAAAGTGAAGCTGGACGATTAATGAAAATAGGTAGGTACCTAGTTATGTATGTTTTTAAACTTTAAAAACACAATAATTTTTAATTTAATTAATGTTAATTAGGTATAATATAATATCTATCAGTGGTGTATCTACAAATATTTTTTTGCATTTAATTTTAGTCTAATTTGATACAGTACTTACTTGAATAAACTTATTCCAAACAAAATATTTTCAGCATATATTTTAATTTTACAGCCCAGGTTTTAAAAAAAACTATTGTAATTATCCCTATGCACATTTTATAATTATATTGAAATTATACTCATTTGTAATATTTCCCTAAACTTTATATTTATGATCATGGTCAGTGGCGTGGCGAACGGTAATTTCAGAAGCCTTGGCCTCTGAAATTTTTCTTAAATAGAGGGGTGGGTGGTAGCCAGTGGGTCCCCAAAGTAAATTGAATATGATATTCTCAATAGGTAGTCAATAACGATCTGAAATATAACTTGTTATATTACATTAATACATTATTATGCATAAATACTTGGGATATTTGTAACTGGCCTCTGGAAAATTTTTAGTTCGCCACGCCACTGATCATGGTTGGTTTGGTTCAGTGTTTAGTTTACAACATATTATTTGTGTGTACTTGAAACTTTTAAAGTGCATTATTATATACAAATATGATGATATAAAAATAATATTAATTCAACCTACCGTCTTCAGTAGGTAGTAATGATATCAATATAAAAATAAAACAAAATTTCCCAGGCCAACAATCCATCTCCGGTCAGAATCATTTTTCGTGTACAATAATATAATGACTACTCATTCAATGACCGACTTGTAAGTTACTATACATTTTTATACCCCAAATGTTGATGACAGTCAGAAAAAAACACACATCATTATAAATACAATACATTCTTTCGCTACGTTTAGAATCTAAAAATATATACAACCTTTATCATATATGTTAGGTAATTGTTATAGGCATATTAATTTAGTATAACATAAATTAATATGTGTAATGTCTGATATTTTTAGGAAATTGCGAACCTGCGATTATTCCAACTGGCAATTCTTTACGTGCTCTAAAAAGTCGAAAATTAGCTAACGACCGTAGACACGAAGATACATTGTCATCTTTGGCTATAATGAAAATGGAAAATGAGTATATTAATGTAATCCATGATATAGGGTACGATCCTTTTTATGTATATTATTATTGTGCTGAACAAATTCATTTATACAGAGGATACTGTAATAGTACTCAAATACCAAAATTAATAATCGATGCAACTGGTTCGGTCGTTAAAAAATTTCGTAAATTTGGTGAAAAAAAAACCAATTCATTGTACTTATATGAAGCTCTAGTGTATGATAGTACAAAAAAAGTAAATTTTACCGTAACGAACATGGTGAGTGAAAAACATGACAATGTATGTATTTCAAAATGGCTTATAAATTGGATAAATTCAGATGTAAAAAAACCAAAGGAAACGGTTTGTGATAATTCTTTGGCCCTTCTATCCGCTGTCGTTCAAAGTTTCACGCAATACACATCACTTCAAGTATATATACGAATATGTTCAGACCTGTTAACTGGAGAATTAAGTACAAATTCACATTTAGTTCCGTGGTGTTTTGTAAGAATTGATGTGGCACATTTTTTAAAAATTTGCACACAATGGGCTCCATTAAAAACTGTACCTCGGAGAGTGAGAGAAATTATTTTAAGAGTGGTTGGACTTTTGATAAAATGTAAAAGTTTAATAGAAGCCCAATCATTACTACATTCGTTGTTTGTAGTATTAGTTAATGAAACAAACGGAATTGACGGAAATGGTCAGGAGACTCCATGCGAAATGAATTCTAAAATACTTATTGACGCTACTTCTACAGGTCTTGTACTGTTTGAACAGCAATTTAATGACTTATTAGCAGCTGCAGAGACGGAGGATGAAGCTCGGAACTTTTTAGAAGATGAATATGAAGGGTTAAATGATTATGAAAACCCATTTCAATCGTGGGCTGACAATATACATAACAGAAGTAAGGGTTCCATACAAGAAGGTTCAGGGATAAACCCTTTGTACTTACCAACATTGGCCCCTTACATTATTAAAAGTATGAAATTATTACCCTTATGGTCGGGTATCATGATTTCGATATTCGGTTATGGTGATGATATTTCGACTTCAGCAGCAGTTGAATCAAGCTTCAAGAAGCTTAAAACAGTAACATTCAAACACATTTCAATTCCGATTGATCTAGAACATTTTTTGGAAAATCACATCAAATCGCTGAAAGGAGCTGCTTTGTTACGGTCATCCTGTAAGAATATAGTGATTTCTTCATTGCCTGAACCATGTGAAACAATTGATGATAGCCATAGCTGTACATCGCCAACAATTATTTCAAATAATTTAAATGAAAATGACAACATGTACATTGAAAATCGTACGAAATCTCCTCAATATGATGCCTTATATGTGGTAGAAAGGCCAATTATTAAGAATAGTAATACTGAAGAATCGCATGATAATCTACAAACAAAATCATTGCAGTTTATCAAAATACTACCTGGTAATTGTACGATCGAAGAAAGTAGAGCTGTTGAAAGCTGGGACCGTAAAAGCAAAAAGGAAAGAAAAAACAACTCTTATCTCAATCCAAACCCCCACTTACGGCATCTAAATATAAGTACTGCAAAAAATAAACAAACCTTACCAATATTGAAAAATGGTTCAAGGTTTGCTGAATTAAAAAGCTGCAAATCAAGAGAAGGCAATTTAATTTTCAGCAATACTTGTGCTTTTGATGCTTTAGCGGCGTTATTGATGGTTTGTTGTTTATTATTAATAGATATAAAATATAATTTTAATTAGCTTATAAATTGTATATTATAATAAACTCATTCTATAGGGAATATAATAGGATTAATTAAATTAAGTTTTTCATTATATTGAAATTACAATTTCAAAAATGATAGTCATTTGTTTGAATAATACAACATTTATTTTAAACTATTAAGTGAGGAAACATTAATATTTTATTGAGAAAATATGAATACTTTTTTTAAAAAAAAAAAAACATTATACAATATTATGTTCAAGTAGTATAAAAACATTCAACTAAATATATAGGTTTAACTTTCAGTTTTATAATTTGTATGGTAACTTTTTTAATTATTATTTAATGGCAATTTAAAAAGTTTGAAGTAAAAAATTACAAAAAGTTAAAATATCTACAAATAACATTGTATTATCATTTTTCTTTATATAAAAAATATACTTACCCCTTTTCACTAATTGTATTCCTCACTTTTCAGGTGTCTTATTGTGATAGCTACAAATTTGCAACAGCGCATAATAATATGTATAAACATGTAGAGTTTTTGAATTTCATTTCTAATATTATAACGGATGGAGTATCAAAATCTACGTATAGCAAAAGAGCGGATATCATAATTACATTTATGAGTCCTGATGTTCAAGAATTGGAATATGGCAACTCCTTGGTGACATGTGATGCGACGATGAGTCATGCTATAAATACCCTGCTTAGTGGCATTCCATCAGCCAAAGAGGTGACGGAGTGCATATCATCTACATGTGAAAAATCTGAGAGATCAATCATGTACCTAACGTACCAAATAGGTAAAGAAGGCCGTTTAGATGATTTACAGACATTTTTGGATGAACGTACTGAAACAGACTTTATTAATTGTCCACAAATTGGCTGTGAAAATCTGAGGTCTGTTAAAACAAATATTTCAAAATTGAATTTATTCATTGATATCCTTTATTGGGAAGGTAATTAAATTAAATTTAAGTAATATAATATTACTAAAAACTATGCATTCAAAAATTGTATTATTTCTAGGAGAAAATGTCGTAGTGAGTAGTGAAGCAGCAAATATCTTTCTGGTACGATTGTGTGATATTCCTCCTATTATCATATGCGAAACAATAACGTACGAACTTCGTGGCGTGATAGCTTTCAGTCAGGGAAAATCAAAACTCAGACATTCAATTGGCCATTATACAACTTACGCAAAACGTGATACAAGAAACTGGGAGTTGTATGATGACCTAAAAATTAAACCTGTGCCAGTTAAGGATACAACTATAGTGCCATGTGAATTTTTATTGTATACCTACAATTTAAATCTATTTTTTTTACAGTTATTCTATATCAATATTCATGACAATGGTTCATTAAACTTAAAGATATAAGTTATATTTTGAATAAAGATTTTGGTGATTATATGTTTTGTTTCTCTAAATTATTTACAATTACAATTTAACTTTATTATTGTTTACTGTTATTTAAAAGTATTGTCATTTACTACGGAACATTATGAGTAAACACCACTGCACTGCCTTAGCAATAGACAATTATTGGTTATCGTTGGTTTAAAATGGTTGCTATTGATTATAGGAGAAAAAATACGTAAGAATTAGGTTCATTTCCCTGGCACCCCACTTTCAAATTTTGGAACCAAACCCAGGGCATTCGATTGTTCTTCGTTTGTTATGGTTTGTTCCGCAAATTTCGTCGTTTGTTCCATCGCCGTTGCCGACTTATAGCCTATTTACGGTTGGGGTGCCAGGGATATGAACCCTAGTTTAATTTAGTAACCTTCACTTTTTAAACATATTCATTCTTAAATCCATAACCAGTACCTGATAAAAAAATTATCAAGTTAAAATAAATTGAATTTCATTAATGTGTTAATCACCGTTTACAGTTATAAATCATAACAATTAACACTATATGTATTTTATTTATTTTTAAATTTAATCTTACCAGTTTTTAGAAGCTTTTTTAATTGATGAAGGGATAGCACATTCACGCACTTCTCTAGAATTATATTTATGAAAAATAATAATTAAAATAATTCATAAATTATTATAAAATCATTTTTAAAATTGACTTATAAAATAGATTAATATGAATACCATTTTTTTATTAAATTATTTCATAGTTTGGGGATTTATTAGTATTTTATTAAATTCAACTTTGCTTTTTTTTATTAAAATTTGATTTATAAAAAAATCTGTATTTATTATAAAATATAAGTAAATCTAAAAAATATTTATTCTATAAAATTAGCCTACTTGAATAAAAATATTTATGACAAAAAATCTATATTTAATAAAAAATCTAAATATACTAAATCTATATTTGACAAAAAATCTGAAATTAAAAAAAATAATCTATATTTAATAAAAAAAAACTAAATACATTTAATAAATATTTAAAAAAAAATCTATTCATTAAAAAATCCGATTTTTATTCGAATATAGATTCAATGTATTTAAATTTTTATCAAACAGATTTTTTGTTCACTAGATTTTTAATTAAATATAGACTATTTTTTTAATGACTGCTTTGGTGACTGCTTCTTTTTTGAGGGGGGCTGGGGTTTATATTTAGTTTACTGAATTAATAATTAATAAAATGTTCATACTTTCCAAATTGAAGGATGAGTACTGTAAAATTGTGCATTATAATGTGAAAAAAATACCTCAGGTCCATTAGTAGTTTTAGTTAAAGTTGATGGGATTTCTGCCCACATCTTTGGTGGAAATAAACAATTTTCTTAAATATAATTGGCATACATTATGTAATCACTAGAAATTAGAATGCAATACGACTATAAGAGGAAAATACCTTTTAAACGATCGATGTTCAGACGATGTATAACCAAAAAATCGAACGATGCCTAGGTACCTAACAGTCTTATAAAAAAGTCCAAGAAAACCATACAAGATGATATGTCTAAGATATAAGAATTTAGTAATTTGAAATATTTTTTCTCTATTATTTTTTAATAACTATACCGCGGAAACACCCTGAGTGTGCGCATCGCTCGGTGTTTCTAGCTCCAGGGTTAGGTATTGCCACACACACAAACTTCAATTCAAAATATTAGCATTTGTGTGCAATGTGCGATTAAAAATATGCATGCTAATCGTGTGCAATGTACATATAAATTATTACATTGCACTAACAATGTTAAGGTAAATGAAATCAAATGTATTTATTATAATTTATAATATGTGAAAAAAAACATACCATGAACTGTGGTATTGGTCAAAATCACTCAATTAATATTTAAAACGACAATGAATGTCTTTGTCCAACAACTATTTCGCAGTTAAACTTTTCAATATAATATAATTTTTATTTGTAGGTAGAATGTAGATATAAATGAAAAGTGTACAGATCGTTGATGCTTCGTATTTGTCACCAAAAACAAAAATCTACGACGTTAAAGTACGATTATTCATTGTATAATATAAAACATTTATTTCGTACATAATAAATTATTTTTAATGATCGTGAAAATAATTCATAGTTTATTTTTAATAATTCCTGGTAGTTTTAAGGGCACAAAAATATGATGTCTCAGAAGTGGTCTTTTTCAACACAATTGCGTTAAAATAAAATAAAAATTATACATGCACATTGCACATATCTATCCGACCATACACATTGTGAGAAGCCTGCAAATGCGTGCTAATGTTTGGTAACAAAAAAATTATAAAAAAGTGACTGCTTCTTTTTGGAGGGGGGCTGGGGTAATGCGTAAGAGTGGAAAACGGGTTTTCCCGGGAAAATGGAAAATTGTCGGGTTCGGCGCCAGTCGTGCAAATGCGTGCTAATGGCGTGCTAATGTTTTGTAAAAAAAAAATTATAAAAAAGTGATTATTTCCTTATGAGGGGGGCTGGGGTAATGCGTAAGAGTGGAAAACGGGTTTTCACGGGAAAATGGAAAATTGTCGGGTTCGGCGACAGTCGTGCAAATACGTGCTAATGGCGTGCTAAAGTTTGGTAAAAAAAAAATTATAAAAAAGTGACTGCTTCTTTTTGGAGGGGGGCTGGGGTAATGCGTAAGAGTGGAAAACGGGTTTTCCCGGGAAAATGGAAAATTGTCGGATTCGGCGACAGTCGTGCAAATGCGTGCTAATGGCGTGCTAATGTTTTGTAAAAAAAAAATTATAAAAAAGTGATTATTTCCTTATGAGGGGGGCTGGGGTAATGCGTAAGAGTGGAAAACGGGTTTTCACGGGAAAATGGAAAATTGTCGGGTTCGGCGACAGTCGTGCAAATACGTGCTAATGGCGTGCTAAAGTTTGGTAAAAAAAAATTTGTAAAAAAGTGATTGTTTCACTTGTGGGGGGCTGGGGTAACGTTACGCCAGCCCCCCTCACAGTTTTTTATACATAACTCGTAAAATAAAGTCGTGCAAATTCTAAAAATAGTCGTGCAAATACATGCTAATGGCGTGCTAATTCGTAACCTAGTTTCTTATGTAAAAAGTTCAATGAGGGGGGCCAGGGTAATGTACGTAATTAAAAGTATGTTTCTATATTATAAATGCTATATTACCTAGTTTTTTAAAGTTTTTTTATTTAGCTTTGAATAATATAATTAGTAATTATTATATCATTGACAATAAATATATATATATATATATATATATAACTTACTAAGTACTTTTATTAATATTTTAACTGTGTTGTGAAAACTTGTCAAATAATATGAGTTAAATATAATATAATATAATAAAAAGGAAAAATAATATTGTTTCGGTTATAATTATTATGACTCGACTTTTTTTATTTTATTGAATATATTGATTAATAAATAAATATTAACATTTTCAGTTTCAAAAAAAAATTAATAAAATGGAATCTCGTTCAAACGAAACGTCCATAAAACGTCAAATTGAAGAAAATTATGAATTACTCGAAAAAACTTTGGATGAAGAAGACGAAGAAGAAAATATAAATAAATACAAAATTAAAACAATAAACCAAAAAATTAAAAAATTAAAATATGAAAAAAAAACAACTTAAACTAGACTACCAAAAATCACAATATACATATTATAAATGTAGATTATATATACGCAATTCTATACATTCAATGCAAAGAGAATTAGAATCTTTGAATATAGACTAAAACTAATATGTAATAATATAATTAGTAATTATTATATCATTGACAATAAATATATATATATATATATATATATATACGTATATTCAATGTTGTTTAATATAATAAATTAAAATATAATAAATTATTACAATATTATTATTATTGCTTATACCCATGTTTTTATTTAATCTATTTTTAGTTTTACAATGAAAAGAAAAACGGTTACAAAACGTCAGCGGATGATGTCTTCTGATGAAGGTTTATTTGAAATTGAAAGATTTAAAAAATGTGATTAAGAATACTTTAGATTTTATAGACTACATGCTTTTTTTTTTAACTATGTTAGAGATAAATTAATTGTAAAGTTAAAACAATCATGTTTACAATCATCTATAAAATTTAATTTACATGTGGATAGTGTATACGAACGAATAATTACTCAAGAAGTTCAGGACATAGCAATCAAAACTTCTAATACACTTGCATGTAATTCATCCGATTTCAATAAATTATTAAATAGGATGTTCGATAAATTATTATCCGAGCAAGACCAGTTTTTAGCGAAAGGATCTGGGTAGTCTCTTAAGAGTATAGATGTATTAAAATTGAGAATTAATATAGTGAATCCCCTCAGGGGATGAACGTATATAGATTTACCTGAATATATGAAAGTTTAAAGAGCAATTATAAATGTGAAAAAATAACTATGGTAAATGTTTTAAATATTCAATAATATCTAAGTTTGATAATCGTTCGAATAAAACTTATTTTAAATAAAAAATATTTTAAAATGATAGAAAAAAAGTAGTTTAGATTTTAAATGTATTGATTTTCCAACACCAATCAGTCAGATGAAAAAATTTGAACGTGTAAACGATGTATCAATTAATTTTTTTATGACAAAGAACATATTTTTCCTCTGTATATATGTGATACTGAAAGAAAAAAACATTTCGATCTATTTTTGTTTAATAATCACGAAACATCACATTACTGTTATATAAAAAAATTTTCAAGATTCGTTAGCACATGCTAATGCTAACCCATTTGAAAAAGGCAAAAGGTGTAAAGAAATATATAATTAAAAATCACATGCAATTTAATAATTATAAGGATATACTAAACGCTTTTATAAACCATATAACTCTCAAGGATGAACAAACTCATAGAAAAATTAATTTTATCCAATCAAATAAACATGTTGTTCATTCGAAAACAATGAACAAACTTGTTCTAAGTGCAAACGATGATAAACGTTATATAATGGATGACGGAATAAATA